TTCTAATGTGGATTTTCCAGGTCAAGAACATGCGCTTGTCATATCCAATCACAAAAGTGATATTGATTGGCTTGTTGGATGGGTTTTAGCTGAGGTGAATGCCTTATCTCGTATGATCTTTTCATATCTACATGCTAGTAAATTATTAAATTAGCTCCTCTTCAAATGCATTTATTGTGTAGAGATGGGTAGTGGCTTCTGACCAATATGCATATATGCTATTTGGTTCGCATGTTGTGTCTAGTGACCTATCTGGTTCGATTTTTGTACTTTAACTGATGATTGATTTTTGAATGTCATTATTTAACAGCGTTCAGGTTGCCTTGGCAGCGCTCTGGCTGTGATGAAGAAATCTTCAAAACGTCTTCCGGTATGCTTTGTTGTCACATGTTTTTCACGGTTTTCAAATGACAAGATGGAAGGTTCTTGTCATTTACTGGTTATGGTTTAACCATTTAATTCTAGGTGTTAGATAAAACTGATATCAAAGTATGAAACGAAGCAATAGAGAATTGGTGTTTTAATAAGGATTGGTTATTAGTGGCATGGTCTGTTTGCTGGTCTGGTTTATCAAATGGTCTTTTGGAGATTATATTGAATTTATCAAAGAGCAATCACTCACTAAAGCTTCTGGGTTAATGGGCTCTATTTTGAATTTAATTATCTTTTCGTGGGGTTTTAATTAGCTTTTTTAAGCCTTATATTATCCTTCTGCGAAGATCATAATTATCCTTTTTATCTTAGCAGCAGTTATCTCTTGCACTCTATATAAAACCTTGATGGCTAGGTTAGCTTTTCATAGATGAGGGAGTAAAAAGTTATGATTTTTGGTCTTCTTCCCCAGTTCTTCCTCTTCTATTTTTCTTTGCTGTTCCTCACCCTTTTCTTCCTTTTTTCTATCCTCTTTCCTCTATTAATATTTATTTCTATTTTTGTTAAACTGAAACCAAACACGCACAAAGTCCTTTTGGCTCCAAACGTGTTATCCAAACGCAACACTCTCTACATCCTTTACTTTAATGGCGACTTATTAATATGCTAGAATGTCTACTTCCTTTAGGTTTAGGGTTGCAAGATCAAATGATTAAAATGTTCATGAGGAGGCCATGTTGACTAACCATCCCACAAAAGGATGTGTGGGCAGTGATTGATCCTGCAGGGCAAGTATTGGGAGAATATAGTGAGGGTTAACGTGGAACTATTGTAAGATGAGATTTGCTGGATAGCCCAATAAATTTTTTGACTGTTTTGGCAACACTAGATGAGTTTTAGAAATTCTGGATTGAATCTTATCCAGGTTTGCGTTATGTTATATATGTTTGAAGGATTTACTCTACACACACTTACGGGCACACAAACTAAATGCTAGTTACTGTGACCTTGCATATCTGATGACTTCAACACCCTGAATTCTCTTATACATTGGACTTATGTTCATGTCTCCAGAACGATAATTGTATAATCATTCTTTTATTTGACCTTTTGGTTTATTACAACCATTCTGAATTCATTTTTTAAGCTGGAAGAAACCCAAAAAATAAAAAGGGTTTCTCATTAGTTGGAATTATTTCAAACCATTCATGCTTCAAAATATAAAGCATTAGAAATTTCTCCATATGACATCTCATTTATACCTTCAATTTTGATATAACTGCTAATTTCTACTTATAGGTCATTGGCTGGTCCATGTGGTTCTCTGAATATCTTTTTCTAGAGAGAAGTTGGGCCAAGGATGAAAGCACATTAAAGGTATTTGTTACTAAAATATTAATAATTGTACTTTTTAATGTAGACTTGCTCATAAATCATACCTATGCACCAAGATATTAAAATTGTTGTGATAGTTCTTTCTCTTTTGCGTGTATGCCTTTGTTAATTATGTTTTTGAATGCCAATTGAATCTTGAGATGTATATGCAGTCAGGTCTTGAACGCCTTAGGGATTTCCCTCTTCCCTTTTGGTTGGCTCTCTTTGTTGAAGGAACTCGTTTCACACAGGCAAAGCTATTAGCTGCTCAGGAATATGCAACCTCATCAGGATTGCCTGTTCCTAGAAATGTTTTGATTCCTCGAACAAAGGTGAATTTCAAACACTGTTATCTTCTCTTATCCCCCATCATCCCAACCGTGGGGTCTTATTTTCTTTATAGTATTCCGGTGGATTGTTGCTTACTTCTTTGTTCTAAATCTAAACAAGCGATATATGCAGTCTGACTAACTGTAAGTTTGGCACCAGCGTGCTAGGGCTTCACTGCTCTTCTTTGTGGCTTGCAGATAATTATTTATTCTATTATCTTGCTCTCAGGGTTTTGTTTCCGCAGTAAGTCATATGCGCTCATTTGTTCCTGCCATTTATGATGTCACGGTGGCTATCCCTAAAGGTTCATCAGCTCCTACAATGCTAAGACTCTTCAAGGGGCAACCTTCAGTGGTAAAGCCATCAAACCTGGGTTTTAGAGTCTAAATTCCCCCTGCCCTCTCCTTTCCTCTCCCACCATATTTATAATTAATTGTGATATTAAGGACGCTTTGCATATTTCTCATTAAGCCAAACAAAGTTCCCAATTTTCACCTGGCAGGTGCATGTGCATATCAAACGGCATTTAATGAAGGAAATGCCTGAAACAGAGGAAGCTGTTGCGCAGTGGTGTCGAGATATATTTGTGGCTAAGGTGCGTGTTGAAATTGAGCTAAATTTTTTTGTGCACGTCAAATGACCGTCTCAACTTGTGGACTTGTTCCTCTCGTTTTGTTGCATACTTCTCTTCCCTCATTCCTGGTGTGCGAGTGCTTTGCCATCTCATTCATTTTGCTTGTTCTGCCCTGGGCACCTCAGGATGCATTGTTAGACAGACATATAGCTGAGGATACCTTTCCTGATCAAGAGCTGCAAAATATTGGCAGACCACTAAAGTCTCTTCTGGTAATACTCTCTCAAGACGTCTAGCTCATGATCCTATTTCTTAATTATCCTTATCTTACATTCAGTATGCTTAAGTTTGCATAAACTATCGCATTTACGCTGGGACTTGGGAGCAGGTTGTAACCTCTTGGGCTTGTCTGGTTATTGCTGGGGCTGTAAAGTTCCTCCGATGGTCTTCATTCCTATCATCCTGGAAGGGCGTTGCATTTTTAGCTCTGGGTCTGACGGTGGTTACTGTCCTGATGCATATTTTGATTCTGTTTTCTCAATCAGAACGTTCTACACATGCCAAGGTAAACCCATCAAAGCCTAGAAACCGGGGAGACAAGGAAGAGTCTGGACGTGACAAAGAACACTAATTTTACCCGCTTCTTCTCCAAATCTTCCTTATGAAAGGGCTTCTTCTACGGCCACAATTTGGTGAGTTTAATTTAGTGCCTGTGTGTTTGCTCTTTAGGGACTGGTGTTGAAAGCTTTGAAAATTCACACTGTTGGAATGTATGTAGTGATTCTTTTTCCGGTGAGAAATGACCCAAACTAAGCCACCACCAAATGGGTCGCAGGGGACCCCTTGAAGAAATTCCTCCATGTAGTTTGTATGCTTATCGATTCATTAGTTTTCTAATTAATTAATGGGGATTGAATTTGTATAGACGATCTAGAATGGTTGCAGAAGAAAGTTCAGAGTACAAGAAATGAAGGACAATTTTCTTTCATGTCCAATTTTTATTTCCGCGATTAGTACGGTGTAACATCAATTCTGTGTCCATTTCGTTTTCTTTTCGGAAAAAAGGCTGGAAAATCTAGTGCGATGACGCAGTGTCCAGTCTAGTTAGATTTATTTATCATATAGCAGCCAGCAACTAGGTTGAATTTGTCAATAAAAAGTAAAATGCGGTTACGAGTATTCTAGAGATAAAATTAATTGATTGGCTTTATTGAAATAAAGTAAAACGAAAGAACAAAAATAAAATTGAAAGATCACATGATAAATAAATTTAAAAGATAGATGTTAGCACAATTTAAGATCAAAATGATTTGATACCGATGATTCAAATCATTGATTAATTTCCAATTATTAGTTTTATGTTAAAGCATCCGTTGTGTGATGATTTTATTTTTAAAAATAGATCAGTCAAATTATCGGGAAATAAAAATAATAATGTATTATAAATATTAGTAGAACATTTAGTATAAAATTTATATCAAATCATACTACTCCTCCGGTCCTAATTATAAGACCCAATTGACTTATTTGAGGAGATTAAGGAAGTAAGTTAAGTTGGTTATTATAATAATAAGGTGTTGTCATTCTTAAAATATCCTTGCTAATTAAGTATTGGCTAAAACTATCATTATTAGAAGGATTATCTTGGAAAAAAAATGCATAAATATAAGAGACAAAATGGATGGGTCTTATAATTAGGACCAAATAAAAAGTCAAATTGGGTCTTATAATAAGGACGGAGGAGTATTATGTAATTGCGTAAGCTGCTTTATATTTTGCGGGAGCATGGCCCCCACATTCTTCGAGCCATGGATAAATGGTCCCCCCCCCCACCCCCATGGATAAACGGTTCTTTTTTGGGCCACCCATGATGAATAAATGGTTGGATTTAAACATGGGCTATAGTCTAGTCTAATTAATTGAATCATGAGCTGGCCCAAAAAAAAGAAAATTAAAAGCTAATACAAACTTTGATTCATCAAATTTATTCTTATTTTGGTTTTAGCCCATCAAGTTTTAAATAATAGGTTTTGATCTCTCAAATTTTTTTTATTTAAAATACTGGTCTCTATAATCTAATGAAAATTTGGACCATTTTGTCTCTTGAGGGACTAAAACTTATAGATTGAAATTTGATAGACTAAAATCAAAATGAGGACAAATTTGAGAAACCGATATTATATTAATTAAATCAAGCTATGTTTCTTTTTTGGCCCATTAAAACTTAAACTGGGCCACTAGGGCTAGCCTGGGCCGAACTGCAGATCCCGAGCAAGGGTTATTCAATCGGCCGGGCACGCGCACTAACAAGTTGAAAAAAAACATTGGGGACAGGAGACACAACGGGCATAGCCGGCTCGTCGCCAGTCGCCTCCCTCGCTCTCGCGCCTACTCTACTTCTTCCTCACCTTCTTACAGGGCAAATTGGAAGACAAGCACCAAGCAAAACCCTAAACCTCGACAGTAACAGTAGCCCGCCTCTTTCAATCCTTCGCCCTCTTTAGTTTTTGCTATTCAGTTCCCGCCATAGCTGCAACCGCCCCACTCTTTCGCCTGAAAAGCCCAACATGGCTCAGATACCGGAGGTATCGTTTTACTGAATTTGGCTGCAACGAGCCGAAATTATTTAATACAACAAAAATAACTTAAGTGCGTTTGTAGTTTTTTAAGCTAATGCTAGTTAGTTAATACAATGTGGGCTGATGGCTTCTTAAGCAGAGTTGAGCGATGAGTGTCACTCCCTCTGGTCATATGTTATGCAGTTATTTGCTCTCTTTGCAACATAAGTGTTCACTGAATATTTTGTATTTTGCTGTATTACAAAACAAATGTTCACTGAATATTTTGTATTCTGCTGTGATCACGCATTCGTGTTATTTATGATTGGACAATTACGCTGACCTGTTTGCTTATCATTCTTTATGTCGATATTGACGCGGGTGAATTCTATACTGGTTTTAATGCTGGGATAGGTATAGAGAATCACCTTTGGTTGTTTGTTTGTTTTTTTTTTTTCACTGAGAGAGAAGTGTAATCAGTTAAGCATAAAATACGGGTAATTTTGATGCATATAATCGTGAACTTATTTGTAGGTGAAATTCTAAGACTCCGTCCAATTGAATAATTGTAATAATGGTGCTATATCAATGTTATCCCTGTCCATACGAACCATAAAGAATTAAAGCTATTAAAGATATATGCAAGTGTGTAGAAAATTGTAGCGGTATTGTTAATACTTCTATTATTACTTCTATCGCCACCCTATGTTGTTGCTCTCTTTCTGTCACTTCCAATTCATCTAAAACGATGCCAAAAATTTGATTATGTTGTTTCTCTCTCTCTCTCTCGCTTGATCTAGCATAGTTTTCTGAAGTCTGAGCTCATGATTTTCAGTGTGCAACGGAGTCTGTTGAGGCAGTTGCATTCAGTTTCTTGACCACTGAAGAAATACAGAAGACTAGCTTTGTGAAGATAACAAATCCCATTTTGGTTGATGGTGTAGAAAGGCCCGTGCCTGGTGGACTCTATGATCCTGCATTAGGTCCACCAGATGACAGGACTCTGTATGTTTCAACAATATTTGACTGCATTAGTTTTTTTTAATATTCCTAACTCTGATATTTGATTATGGGAATTCACTTTTGACTAATGAAAGTTGGCAACTTTGAAGGTGGTCTTTTGTCTTCGGGGACTTCTGGTTGCTTGCCTTTGGTGAAATGCTAGCTTTTCTGTATATAGATGAGCCGTGTGGGAAATCTTAATTTTTTTACAAACTTAATTTTCCTTTCTTAACAATGTTACATTTTATATAAACACCATTTATTTAATCCGCAGAGCTATTATAAGACAGATTTGTCTTCATGGAATTGAAGGTTTCAAAGCACTTTTGAATCACTGAATTTTGATTTTTGTTTTTTAAATTGGATTTCTTGCCCTCTGGATTTGTATTTCAGATCTCTTAATGAGATATTTTAAAGAAAAAAGGACTCTTTCTGGTCATATCTGTAAATCATTTTTAATCGATACACAGATCAAGAAAGTTGGTTAAGATTACTCAATAGTCTTGAATTTCTAAAATAATTATTCCAATGATTCAGAATTACCCTTATATAAAATTCATCACTTTTTTTTTTTTTAAATTTCTATTCCCACATTAATTTCAACGTCCCATTGATTTACTTCTCCATCTCTATTATCTCTTTAATGCTTTTCTCATACTTGTCAATATCAAAATTTGGTTCCCACCAAAATTTTAAATGTCAAAATTTGGGTCCCACACAATTATGAAGGGGCAACCTAAGAGCATTATGATTGCATTGCAGAGCACCAACAAAATAGGGGCGGGGAGATAGGGCAAACCTGAAAAAGTATTTAATGCTATTGATAAACTGAAGTGTCTCATAGAAAAGGCCATCAAATGCTTCTAAAAACTGCATTACATATAGGACTTGAGGAGTATATTAGTGTAGGTAATAGGCAGCATTATTTGTATGAAATGAAATTTCATGTTCTGCTAATCCCAAGTTTCTTTACTTACATTTAGAAAGCATTATCTCAAGTTGTGTGGTTGATATATCTCTTTTGTTTGGTGTAGTTGTAAATCATGCGGTCAGCCTTCCAAACTTTGCCCCGGTCATTTTGGTCATATTGAGCTTGTTTCCCCTGTCTATAATCCTTTGCTGTTCAATATACTTAGCAGTATTCTGCAAAGAACTTGTTTCTCTTGCCATTTTTTTCGGGCTAGCAGAGATGAGGTAAACTTACATTAATGCAGGTCTATTAGAAAATTACCATAAATGGGTTTGTTCAAGTAGTTTCTGCATTTTTTCCCCCTTTATCTTGGCCATTATTCAGTCTTGTATTGATTCAAGGTGGAGAAATTTACATCCCAATTGGAGCTCATTGTGAAGGGGGACATTATTGGGGCCAAAAAATTGGATTCACCTGAACCAAGTGAGTCTACATGTTTGGGTGATGATGATTGGATACAGAGTCATAGTGCTGATCACTTGCCAGGAAAGTGGAACTCACATCAATTTAGTGAAGCAATGTCGATTCTAAACAATTTTCTGAAACGGGAACCTAAGAAGTGCAGAAGGTGTGGGTCTCATAATCCAAAAATTAGTAAACCAACCTTTGGGTGGTTTTATGTGGTAAGTCTCTTGACTTCTCGCTGCTGGAGCTTATATTCAGAAGTTATTTACTACGAAGCTCTAATCTATATTTTCTTTCCTATCCTTGTTAGGTTCAGTCTGTGCACACTGAGTTTCCATCTCTGTTCTTTTCTGTTTTGGTTGTGGCTTTTGGAATTTTGATATTTACTTTCTGCCGGCTTGTTGTCTTGTTAATTTCAGAGTTTCAAGTGTCTCAAATTGTTACAACATGTTATTTGTTTCAGTTGGCATGGAGTTATTTCATGTTGTATTTTTTATTCCTTTTATACTCTTCCTTCCCTAGTAGACGTAGTCAGTGTATTTGGATTAGACTTTAACTTTGGGGATCATTATGATATTTCCTGAGTCCAATGTTATTTGTGTGTGCGGATGTAATTGTTAGTTGCCATTTCTCATACTACTTTTTAAGATTTTGATGATCCATTGAGCTTGCTGTGCTGTAAAATTGTGGACATAAATATGTTTTGGTTGGGCAGACATGTTGATATTATGCAAGGCACGGTTAATGCCCTTCAAAATTTATATTTTCATTTAGTGCTTATTTAAGTTTTGAAATGTGAAAAGAAACTGTATAGCTGTTTCAGTGTTTTTCTTTTCCTTTTGTTTTTTCAAATTATGTGTGACTTGTTGACAAAGCTTTGAATTGGATACCATAAACTCTGTTGACATTGTACTTCTCAATGTGAATTATTTATGCATCCTTTCACAGCGCACAATGTCATGTTGGCCTCTAGATCATTCCTGACCACCATTACTAATTTTTTCTTCATTTCCTCTCTTCCTCTTGGGTTTGTTCTATTTGGCTCTAGAGTGATCTCTCAAGTGAAAAAGCTAGAGGAAATGTCATTAGACATTACGCTGATGAAATTATCAGTGATGTTATGCCTTCAGAAAATCGGGATAATTCGGATGAAGATATGCCTTCTGCTACTTCTGCTGGGACTATTAATAGTGCTTCAAAACAGGCATCATCTGAAAAAACGTGAGGAATTGGCTGGTGCATTTGCTAAGCATAAGAAATTTTCTGGGCCTTTGTTACCATCAGAGGTCAGTTTCCTGCATATGTTGTTTAATTTTGCACTGGGTCTAACACTCATAACCTTCGGTTTTATTTGCAATGAAAAGTCTGCTGATAGTGACACGGTCAATATACACTGGTACTATAGAATCTGTCTGAGTCAGCTTGCTTAACCACAGGTTAAGGTATATTGGAACTCTGTGGAAAAACGAGGCTCGATTCTGTTCTCGTATTAGTGACATTCAAGATCTGGGATTTGGAAAGCAAGCAGGTCATTCAATGTTCTTTCTGGAGACTATTCTTGTTC